CCCACCAGTCTGGGATTCTGTAACCTTAACATTAGATGTGCAACACTTGCTCACCTGGATGAGCTGTGAGCTCTTCCCCAGGGGCTGAGAGCTCCCACCATTCAGCACGTGAATCTTTGCAGGATTGCACATTGCCTCTCTCAGGAAAACCATCCTAAAATCCCTGTCGCTGAAACATCTCCTTTCTCTATCCAGGTCCGATTCCTTGAACAACAAAACAAGGTCCTGGAGACCAAGTGGGCCCTTCTGCAAGAACAGGGGAACAAAACCGTCAGAAACGACATCGAGCCCCTCTTTGAGACCTACATCAACAACCTGAGGAGGCAGCTGAACAGCTTGCTGACCGACAAGGAGAACCTGGGAGGGGAGCTGAGCAAAGTGCAATGCCTTGCCGAGGACTTCAAGAACAAGTGAGTCTATCCATCCACGGGCTGCCTGGAGAGCGAGGCAGGCTGCGACGGACTGCAGCTCTCCGTTGCATTGGTGCAATCAAACAAGGAAAGAAGGTCTTTTTGTTGATGTAATCTTCTGAGTAAGGCCCAAGTTTAATGTGAGACATGTTCAGCCTCAGTTCCCTGGGATTGAAAGTCACGGGCTGACAATTAGGGGGCTGAGAGATGAAGGTACAAAACTGTAGATACCAAAAAAAAAAAATAAAAGTCTGGTCCTGAAAATATGAAATAACTTTTGTACAAACCTAGACCAACACTCCGTTTCCATCCCGCAGGTATGAAGAGGAGATCAACAAGCACACAGCCGTCGAGAACGAATTCGTGATCCTGAAGAAGGTGGGTGCACGCGCGCTGTGCCTCCCAGCCCTGCACCAGTGTAGCAAGAACACGTTCTCCAGCTTCTCCTCTGCTTCTCCAAAAATCACTTCATTTTTGTGATGTGTTTCCTCTTCTAGGAGGTGGATGCTGCCTACATGAACAAGACAGAGCTGCAAGCCAGGCTGGACTCCCTTTTGGAGGAGATCGACTTCCTCAGGGCCCTCTATGAAGCCGTAAGCACCAGCTTTTACATCCTTCTCCCAGCTTCCAATGTCCTTGCCTTCCTTTCCCGCTTCAGAAGCTCAGGACTGATTATTTTCCAGTCTGTCGCACTAAACAATTCAACGCTTTTTCCATTTCACCGGCTGTCTTAACCCTGCCTGAAACCGTCTTGGAAAAACCACTCTGTCCACCCAGGTCTACCCTCTAACCCGGGGGGTTTCCTCCCTCCGAGCAACATTCTTGTTTCAAGCGACTCACCGAAACACTCGCTGCTTTTGCAGGAACTGTCCCAGATGCAGTCACAGATCTCCGACACCTCCGTCATCCTGACCATGGACAACAACCGCAGCCTGGACATGGACAGCATCATCGCCGAGGTGAAAGCGCAGTACGAGGACATCGCCAACCGCAGCCGGGCAGAGGCGGAGTCCTGGTACCAGAGCAGGGTGAGTGCCCAGGAGGGCTTCTGCCATGGGAAAACCACTCCCTCCCACAAATCCCCATGGGGAAGTGGGGCCAAATGATTTTATAACACAGGCTGTCTTCAGATTTAATAATCCTATAAAGTTTGGAAGCGCTCATTTGGGATTGAGAACATACACATACTTCTGAGCGCAAACACCCACATACCCACGTACCGCTCGGCTCCAAAACTGATGGATTTTCCCTTGGCTGATGGTTCCTCTCTCTGTGACAGTACGAAGAGCTGCAGGCTACGGCAGGCAGGCACGGGGACGACCTCCGTACCACCAAGCAGGAGATCTCCGAGCTCAACCGCCACGTCCAGCGGCTGCGGTCTGAAATCGACAGCGTGAAGAAACAGGTAAGGGGCAGAGTAAACACATAAGACTTCACTCTCGCTGTGGTCTGACCGCTTGGCTGTCCAGCCAACTCCAGGGAATGTAAATAAATGCACCTCAGTGAGTTCTGCTGGATCAGGAATGAATACAACAGCATTTATCTCAACGCGATAATATCACTAAGAATAACTGAACGCGATATTAGTAAATCTGAGGAGACGTAAAGAGGTGTGGAGTCAGATGAAATCCAGGTTGTGACCTGGCTCAGAACACGGATCGATTCAATGGCTGTTAAGATCAGACCGATAGATGTTAACCCAAAGTCTTCTGCATGTGGACCAGGCATCGTCACCTCAGGGTACAAAGAACTGGTCTTTGCTCTGGATAAGGAACACAACCGCCGTTTTTCCTCCACAGTGCGCCAGTTTGCAGACAGCCATTGCGGACGCCGAGCAGCGCGGGGAGATGGCCGTCAAGGACGCCCGGGCAAAACTGGCCGAGCTGGAGACAGCCCTGCAGAAGGCCAAGACAGACCTGGCCCGGCAGCTCCGCGAGTACCAGGAGCTGATGAACGTCAAGCTGGCCCTGGACATCGAGATCGCGACCTACAGGAAGCTGCTGGAGGGAGAGGAGTGCAGGTGGGGGCAATTTTATATCCCAATTTCCAGAGGCGCGATGCCGTCGCAGACCCTTTTGTCAGGTTTAGGCTTCCCCCATTCAGAAGACCTGAAACCTGTTTAAAGGCACGGAATTGCCCATAAATCTGAGCTATTTGGGAAGACGGCAGCCTTTCGCACAAACTTTCCAACCTCCACCAAAAACATTCCAAGGAAATTCCCCTGTCTTTGCAACCAGCTCCTCTTCATGGGTTCCCCTTGAATCCTTACTGGCTCATTTTGCTCCCTAACAGGCTCTCCGGAGAAGGTGCCGGCGCAGTGAATATCTGTAAGTAACTTTTAAAGACAGTTTGGCAACTTTTCCATTTGTCTCCCTGCCACCCAGAGCCCACCGTTCGTGGATGCCTCTAACGAGAGCATTTTTCTCTTGCAGCTGTGACCAGAACCGCTGTAGGATCGGGATACGGAAGCGGAAACTGTCTCAGCTTTGGAGGCAGCAGTGGTGTGGGAGGTGGGGTCTGTGCCGGAGGAATGGCCTTCAGCTCGGGAAGCGGACAAGGCACAGCCGGGTCATGCATGGTGGGTGGAAGCAGTTCCAGCGTGAAGTACGTCTCCACCACTTCTTCAACCAAGAGATGCTATTAAAGCCAGACATCCGCGCCGTTAGCTGCTGTGTGCCAAGTCTCCGCTCGTACCGTGCGCAACCCTCACCCTGTTACTTGGGAAAGATTTGGAAGTCAAAGCTGTCTGTCCTTATTTATATAAAACACGCCACGCTCCCGTTTGTTCTTTGTGTCTCTGAAACCCTCGTTTCCCAGTATTTGTCTAATAAAATGCACATGGAATTAGCTCTGTCTCATCCTCCTTTTAGTTCCAACTACTTTATAGGAGTTTGGGGAAAAGAGTGGCTGACATAGAGTAGAGTTGAAGGTAAACAAAAGTCATACGCACAAGAGTTGAGACTTTTCCTTCCTCTGCACTCACTGCCACTCCACGGACACCTCTAAGATCCAACAGAAGCAGAGCAGTTGGATGTTTTATTCCCATCTGTGTGAGCAAAGTTGGGTTTTTTTCAGTATCTCCCACAGCATGGGAAAACACCCGCCCTTCCTAGGAGGGACCAGAGAAACGACCTTCTATCGCGATTTCTACATTACAGCATCTCAGCATTTTCCCACCACTTTGATTGTGCCCAAACCTCTGTAATCTTTCAAGGTTTTGTAATGAGTCATGCAGGGATACAAGTGTAGTTTTTCCCCAAGAAAGCAAACACCTCAGCTCCCGCTGTTCTGTACACGCCATTGCCATAATTAGAAATGCAAAAGACCCATTAAACCCCCAAACTCTTTGGGAAGAATAACGTCCCCAGACATCGACTGGGAGATAGTTAAAGACCCTGAGGGTGAGGAAGGTTTCGTTCCCCTTCTCTGATCTCCCGAACGGCAGAAAAGAGAGACAAACTACAAAAGCACCAAAGCTGAGATCACGGCGGCAGATTGTCCTGGTTCCACCTCTGACACGGCCCTGTCGAGGGACTGAAGCACCAGAGGTAAACGTGACGCGTGTTAAGTTCACACTCCCTCCTAGCCTACAGAGAAGGCGATACAGGAAACCTCAGCTTTCATTAATCCTCTAGATCGCAGCACAATAACACACTACTGGAAAGGAAACGGCTCGTCCTCAACACCTGCCCGTCTTTCTCTGCTATCTCTGGAACGTATTTCCACCGACACCAGCAGAACTGGTATTTGGTTTGTTATTTAAACACTGTCCAGCATCGAACAGGCGTCTCATGACCCGGACTTTCACAAGCCAGGCTGTTTTCTCTCTGGGGGACCATTCAGCACTTTGGCAGAGCAAAGCGTCCAGGCTCCCTCTGCAGCCAACGGAAAGGCCACAGGTGCCTCCCAAAATATCATCTTCACCAGAAGTACCTCTGTGCGGACAAAGTGATGCCCGTAAAGATGAGGAGCGCAGACCAAGACACCCAACTTCTCGCCCAGATCAGGACGGGTTGCTCCTACCCCAAGGCGGCTGGCAATGGGAGAGCAAGAGCAGTCTTTTCTTTAGCACAGCACGTCAAACCATCGTTTTCAACATCTCCAGATTCCCTCTGGTGGCAACTTCACTCCCATCAGCTTTAAATCAAATGGGCACTGACACCAAGTTAGAAGAAAGCCCAAAGGGAACTTCCAGACATATATATATATGGTGTTTGGGTTTTTTTCCCACCAGTAATCCCCGCTCTGAAAAGTACAGGTTAGAAGATTTGGTTAGCTTTACGAGCCTGAAGGTTGCCAGCCCATTGCATTAGCGAGTCTGTTGATTAACGGGTTGGGAAAGGTGGCCCCGCGCCAGCATACCAAACCGATTCGCTCAGTCAGCTGAGCTGCTGTCCTCTGCGGACAAGCCCAACTCTCCAAAAGGATAAAAGGCAGAGGGGACTACCCGATCCAAACTCTCAAAGATTTCCACTCATCTGCCATCTCACCTCCATGTTCCCCGCTCTCATCACCGGCGAATTTGGACAGAAGTCAGTTGGCGTTAGGTCAGGAAGACTCACTCCAAGTTTGAGCGCTGCTTCTGCCGCTATGCCTGTTAACCGAAGCAGCTTCAGCTCCATCTCCATGTCCCGCAGCAGTGGTGGAGGCATGGGACGGATCAGCGGTGGTTTTGGCAGCAGGAGCCTTCACAATCTAGGGGCAAGCAAGAGGATCTCCATGAGCGGAGGGTATTGTTCTGCTAGACCAGGATACAGTTATGGGTCAGGTCACGACGGGTTTGCGTATAGGGTTGGTGGAGCTGGGTTAGGGTTTGGAGGAGGATGTGGCGCTGGAGGTATTCAAGAGGTCACGGTCAACCAACACCTCTTGGTACCTCTCAACTTGGAGATTGACCCCAACATGCAGAGAGTGCGGCAGGAGGAGAAGGATCAGATCAAAACCCTCAACAACAAGTTTGCCTCCTTCATCGACAAGGTAAGACACGTTCCGCTTCATCCAGGCTGGCACGTTGGCCATTGCCTGTGGAGCAGGATCAGGAATTGCTCTCAACAACGTAAATTTACTTCTAAACCCTTCATGCACAGAGATAAGGATTTTGTTTGGCTTGTTATCTCCATAAATACAGCTTTGTTTTGTAAGAGCTCCATAGACAGTCTGGATATGGTGCAAATTATTTTTCCAGGTTTCTTTGCAGTTGAATATTGCTCCTGGTTTCCAAATCTTCCTACCAATGAGCTTTCCATGGCATGCCCATCTAAAGCCCACTTTAAATTACATTAAAAAAAAAAAACCATCCCCCCTGACATTAAAGCCCCCATCTCAGGAAAAATGAGGCAGGTTTTGAGTTGACGGTCCCAAATGATCTCAACTGTTCCGATGGGTTTCAGGTGCGGTTCCTGGAGCAACAAAATAAAGTACTGGAGACCAAATGGAGCCTCCTGAAAGACCAAAAAATTGTGAAAAATAACCTTGAGCCTATGTTTGATGCCTACATCAGCAACATGAGGAGACAGCTGGAGGCTCTGGGAGGGGATCGGCTGCGGCTCAGCTCCGAGCTGAAGGCTATGCAGGATGCTGTGGAAGACTTCAAGATCAGGTAAGCAACACACGCGCGCACACACACACACACACACACACAAAGAAACCTGTCCAGTTTTTCTTCACTCTATCTTCTTGCTGGATGAGCTAAAAGACCCAAGGCAACCCCAAAATTGTGAGACCTCAGAAAGGACTGAAGCGACTCGGGTCCCCTGGCTTTAGCTGCTGGCTGAGCGGCAGCAGCACTCTCCCCGCTGCGGGACACACGCGTTCGTTTTGCCGGGACGGGGGAACTTTTTCAAAGGCTCAGACAGGTCAGACATCCACAGGATTTCGGCAGCAGCTTCTCAAAAGCCCAGCCTGGCCTCTCAAGCTTTCCAAATGGTTTCAGCTCCTGTGGTCATTTTAATAGGGACCAGGATGATATCTGAATCTTTACAAGACTATTGAGCGCTCTGAACACTCACATTTCTTACTGATGCAAGTTCCTTTCCAGGAGAGAAAAAATGTCTTAAAAGAAATATTAAGTCTGTGCTTAAGTGCTTTTCTTTGGGTTTATGTTTTCCTTTTTTTTTTTTTTTCTTTTAATTATTATCATGTCCCTTAATATTGATGCATTGGATAGTTTTAGCCCTTCCGAAAGTCAGGAGTTAGCTTCTACCCCCCGAAAGTCACTGAAATCTTGGGCGAGGGTTTCAGCTCAGCTCATTAACTCTTTAGACTGTTCAGAGGAGGTGTTCCCTCTCTCATCCACTCTTTGCACTTTGGAAAAACATCTATCAAGCGTTAGTGTCTGCTACCGTGCCCAGGAGGGATACACTGCTTAATGGACATGAATAAGTAAGGAGCTTAAATTGTCAATCTGGAACCAGAAAAACAAGAGAGGAGAGCGAGGAGGCGGCTGCAGCCCAAAACAGGACACGCACATTCTGCCAAAACCCCTCTGCTCTCCCTTTGTTGGGAGATTGCGTGTCTGACGCTTTCTGCCACCTTTACCAACAGTGCCTCTAGCCCAAAAGTAGCATCGGAATAGAAACGACTGCCTTGGGGATGAGAAATCATCATCCACAGTCTACTTTGAGACTCCTCTTTTTGATGGTTCTCTGTGCCTATAGCAAAGAAGTGTTTAACAGAGGGAAAAAACACCCGTCCTGTGGCAGTTTGGCCATTTAAGACCTCAGGGTCTGCTACAGATCAGCCATCCAGCTATCCTTAACTCCTTTTAGGATGGGACTCATTTAGGATGAGGTAAATATCTTTCTCCATCAGCTACAAATGAAACCCCAAAGAACAGAGCTTAGCCAAAACAGCCAAGTCCCAGGTAGGCGACTTGAGACGAATCCCAGCCGTTAAGCCCAATACTGCTATTGATTCACTGGGTCAGAGAGTGTCCTCCTCCTGTTCTTGTCAAAAGCCCACGCTGAAAGCGATTGTAAAGTTTGAAAAGCAATGTCTAACGTTAGCACAGTCTGGAGCTGCAAAGCAGCGACCGAAGCTGCTCAGCTGAGAAAAGACCCGCGGGTGCGCCATGACTTCAGACAAGAAATCCTTTGACAACCAAAGGTCACATCACAGAAGAGGTTCAGACTTTAATCCCCTGCCTACAGTTAACGTAAAGTGGCAAATATTCCTTCTGGCTCCAGATCAGAGAATCTTTGGGCAAAAGCTCAATGACATCATACACATCGCTGGGCAGGGACCATCATCTCGCGTTGTGCCAACAATGCCTACACCTACCAAAAGGACATCGCTGCCGCTTCTCCTTCTCCTAGGAATTTGTTCTTTTTACCTTTAGCTATTTTAAACTTTGTGGATCCCAAAATATTCTTCCTAATGCTTTGCTCTTCTCAAGTCAAATACTAATCCATACAGCAATTAGAAATTAGACATACGCCAAATTAGTTTTCCTCTTCTACATGGCTAAGAGCTTAGAGACCCACAAATCTATACACAGGCGAGGACTTTGCTTAATGGACATTATTTTAAGGGGTGGATACTCCTGATGTGAAGAAATCTTCCCCCATGAAAGGGTCATGGAAGGCTAACGCTTTATTAGCTGCACAGACTCTTCCCTTTGAACTCCTGTCTTTCATCTCCCCCATGTAATCATCTCATTTGAGCTGGGCATCGCTCCATGGCTACCGCTGGTTTTTATCCTTTCCCAAGAGTGGGACTGCGCGCTGCTGCTGATCCCAACCTTGGCTCTCCTTGCCCAGGCCATCACCCTCCCTCCTTCCCGGCCATCCCCAGCTCTCCCGAAGCCAACCGCGGGAGCTGGCGTCAGAGATCCCGGCTCTTCTGACTAAGCCAGGTGTGGCGGTGATGAGCTCAGCTACGGCTCCACCCAACCCTCCCGGCCTGAGAAAATTCAGAGAGTACAAGGCTCCCATTCACGGCGAAAACTTCTGGGAGGATAAAACGTGCCTTTAATGAAGGCCTGCAGCTTTTCTAGATGGCCTCCTCCCACCACCTAGCCCAAGGGTGCTGTCTTTCCATCGTAATCAGTGATATACATATCTCTCATAACGTTATGTACAATATACGCACTGACATGGCAAGGACAGATGCGCGTTGTTCGGTAGCTATTTCTGTTGTTCCCTCCAAAGATAAATCATAGAATAGTTGGGGTTGGAAGGGAACTTTAAAGGTCATCTAGTCCAACATCTATGCACGGGTGGTAAACGCCCCTGGGAACCAACTCTTTAGTCTCCCCACAAAAACCCCACGAGTGCGTGGAGGAGGGATTTCCATACGCCCATGGTGGAGGGGGTGGGTTGCAGTACGGAAGCCGGGGAGTCCTGCTCATCTCCCCTTCCCAACAGGTACGAAGAGGAGATCAACAAGCGCACGGCTGCAGAGAATGACTTCGTAATGCTGAAGAAGGTGAGGCGCCAACAACAAAGAAGGGACACGCTTTTTAAAGGCAAAACACATTTGAATGCAAATAACCCTTTTTATCCAGCCGGGCCAAGCTGGGCAAAGCGCTTAGCAAACGCGTAGTCATCCCTCCTTGAAGCAGAAACACCCAGCCGTGCCAGTGTGTCAGTCCTTGGCAATAGCTCCTTCTTGTTTCAGGCCCCTCCTCCAAAATTCAGGTGAGTCCTGGTGCCCCCAGGTGCCAGATCAGATCTGGGTCATCCATACCCTGTAGTCACTCCACCAGATGCTCTGCCGCTTCTGCAGCCCCTCTGTATTCATTCCCACCCGCCACAGCTCCCCTGGTCCCAACTGCAGGAGACACAATCAGAAACTTCCACTATTTCAAAGCATTGTCCAAAATATCTATCTGGGCACTGGCAAAAAAAAAAAAAAAAGGGAAAGTCAGTGGCTTCTGACATGTCAAAAATTGCTTAGACGTATAGCCATCATCCTTCTCTCCCTGCAAAAAAAGGTGGAGGGAAGAAAGCAGTTCACTCTTGGCTCTGATTCAAGGCACAGAGGTCAAGAAAGTCTTCAGTTCCAGCTTTTCTCCAAAGGTTCATATTAAACGACAACTGGTCTTTGTACAAGGATGTAGATAAGCAAGGTCTGGTTCACAACCTCTCTTGTCGCCGCTCCAGGATGCAGATGCCGCCTACGTGAACAAGGTGGACCTGGGGACCAAGGTGGAAGCCCTGACAGATGAGATTAACTTCCTGCGAGCCCTCTACGAAGCAGTAAGAATCTCCCAAATTCACCAGTTCTGCTGTTTCCCCATTTTTGGAACTGCAGTTCGTCCCCATTCCTCTCCTCTACCACACATCATCTCTGGGACAAGCACAACAGTGAAACATTGGGGATTGAGAACGAATTCGTTTGACTTACAGGAGCTGTCCCAGATGCAGTCACAGATCTCCGACACCTCCGTGGTGCTGTCCATGGACACCAACCGAAGCCTGGACCTGAACAGCATCATCGCAGAGGTCAAAGCGCAGTACGAGGATATCGCCAACCGGAGCCGGGCGGAGGCCGAGTCCTGGTACCAGAGCAAGGTGAGGATGTGAAAATTACCCAGGGGAGACAGGAAAATTTTTGTTTAGCATTTCCCAAAGGCTATTTTGTACTGGAGAGTGCAAGCAGGAGAGGACAGGGGAGTAGGGTGTAAAATCAAGTCTATTTGGATAGGGTTTAATTCAGTTTCTTGGACATGCGAAAAAGCCATTTTGACAATGAGAGAGAGGATCATGAGGAGATGGAGGGAGGGAAGAAATATGCCAAAGCTCATGAGGAAGAGCTTGGATTGAGGACAGAAGGAGACAGAAGACCTGGGCAAGAGAGGATCAGAGCAGGGTCAATCTCTACCAACGAGTTCAAGCTCCTGCCCAGATCTGACTGCCCTGGTGTCCCGTCTCCCTGCCCATCTCAGTATGAGGAGCTGCAGCTCACGGCTGGCCGCCACGGAGACGACCTCCACAACACCAAGATGGAGATCTCAGAGATGAACCGCATGATCCAGCGGCTCCACTCAGAAATCGATAGCGTAAAGAAACAGGTATGGCACACAAGACCCCTCCAAGCATGGGGGCACCTCCATCTCCACGACCTTGCTGTACATTTGCAAGGATGCCTGGAAATCAGGGTCCAAACCCACCGAGCAGTCACCAGACCTATTTCCACTTCTTGCAGTGCGCCAGTTTGCAGACGGCCATCGCAGATGCCGAGCAGCGCGGGGAGATGGCCGTCAAGGATGCCAAAGCCAAGCTGGCTGGCCTGGAAGATGCTCTGCAGAAAGCCAAGGCCGACCTGGCCCGGCAGCTCCGCGAGTACCAGGAGCTGATGAACGTCAAGCTGGCCCTGGACATCGAGATCGCGACCTACAGAAAGCTGCTGGAGGGAGAGGAGACCAGGTGGGGGCAAATTTATATCCCAATTTCCAGAGGCGCAATACCGTCGCAGACCCTTTTGTCAGGTTTAGGCTTCCCCCATTCAGAAGACCTGAAACCTGTTTAAAGGCACGGAATTGCCCATAAATCTGAGCTAAGCTCCCCCTGCAAACCAAATAATGTCCAAACCCATAGATCTTTTCACATTTGCCTTGTGACAAGACAGGGAATGGCCACAAAATCTTGCAGAGAACAACCCCCTGTCCTACGCAGTTAAAGGCTTTATTCCAATTCCTGTTGGACACCCATCAGACCTTAACAGCACAGACCATTCTGTTACCCAGTGTCCCTCGTGCCAAACTCTTGCTTGAAATTGTCCCAAATAACAATCCCTTCCTTCTCTGTCCTCTCTTTCTCCCAGGCTGGCTGGAGAAGGCGTTGGTGCAGTGAATATTTGTAAGTAATCTGGCTCTTAAGCAATAGATTGAGTATTCATTGAGTTATTCCTTAAACGTACCTGGAACTGCTGATAAGACGATGAAAGCGAGCTCTGCAGCTGGTAGCTACCAGCACAAAAGTGGAGTACACGTGGGGTTTGCAGTGCTCTGCAGGACTGGAGGGCCAAACAGCCCAATACATCTTGTCTCTGAGCAGCTCTGAACTCGAAAGGAGTGAGACCGTCCCTGGGAGACTCCGATGTCTAAGGGCGGCTCTGCTACAGGGTCGGAAGAAAAGCCAGAGAGTAAGATGTGTGAAATACAGACAGCAGTAGACTGTCCAAGAAAAAAAAGCACAAATGTGCGGAACTAAAGGTTGAAATTCCTTTGTGCTGTTCCAAACAAACTAACCCTCTGCCCGTGGTTTCCTCTCGCAGCCGTGGTCTCGTCCGGGAGCAGCTACGGAGGTGGGAACGCGCTGGGGATGGGGTCAGGCTTCAGCAACAGGCTCAGCATGGGGGGAAGCGGCGGCGGCGGCTCCAGCAGCGGGAGCTGCCTGGCCGGGGCATTCAGCTCTGGCGCGGGAAGCAGCTCAAGCGTGAGGTTTGTATCGAAAAGCACCACCAAGAAGAGCTATCGGAGCTAAGGCGCGGCGGCGCCCAGCGCAGCCGGAGCAGAAGAGGTCGAGCACCACCTCCTGCTGCCAGCACGAAGCCTATTACCACCACCCAAAGAGAAGCTTATCACCTTCCCGATAGGGGAAAACCTATTCCCAGCGCTACCCATTGGCTTGGCAGAGACGCCTCTCCAAGTCCAGATAATTCCTCTGCATAAAGCCTCACCCAGTTGACCAGAAGCCCAGCGCCGCTTGTCAATGAGTAATCAGCCTCCCCACTAATGGGGGCCATCGTTAGAGCTCAGCTCGCAGCTTCCCAGTGCTCCCTTTCGCTCCGGTGCAAATCCAGAGTAGATGTGGGACTTGGATTTACACCAGCGTTCGCCAAAGCGGAGCGTGTCCCTTCAGCTGCTTATGATAGAAACCAGGAGGTGTGTTGAGTCTCTCCCTCCCAATCAGCCCTGCTGGGCTTCCTCTCCCCAAAGGCTTGAAGAATTGAAAATGAAGCGTCTTTCAATACAGAGGCAGCTGCTCCGCTTCCCAATTCCTCCTGCGTTGCCATCGTTTTCACTCCAGGGCTCCAAAAACGCAGTCTCTGTTTCCCATAGGTGAAAGGGGTTGGTTCTCTGTAACGTCCAATTCCTCGCCCACCTCGTACATATAATTTAAGCCAAAAGCCCACGTAGGCTACAGGTTGTAGACCTTTGTCTCAGCCGCAAACCATCCTCCTTTCCAACGCCAGAGTGAGCTTAAAGCAGAGACAGGGGTTAAAAATACAGGAAAAACAAAGAGGAGGAAGAGCAGCTTCGGTAACGTAGATTTTACATAACCTGGAAAAACATCTCTGGTTTAGTGCCTTTGTTCTTCGCTTGTTTGTGTTTTGGTTTTGGGGGTTTTTCTTCTCTTTTTCTGGAAGGAGGAGGGAGGCAAAGAGGAGGGTTGGAGATTTATGTGCCAAAAACGTAACTAGCTCATTTCCCCTCATCTTCTGCTCCTGTTGAACTGTACGAGTTTTATGAAGTTTCGTCAATAAACTGCAATCAAACTTACCACGAGCACTGTGGGTTTTCTGTGCTGTTACAACATTGACCTAAAAGTGTAATTTTAGAATAAGGTTTAGATTTGCCATAGGCACTTGCTGTCACTCAGAGCCTTCCCATACCCTCCTCCTCCTCCTCCCCACCTCCGTCCCAGAGACGAGGGCGAACGTGAGGTGTGTTGGAGATAGGGCTCACAGAGCGGCCATACCCAAACATTTTGGGAGGGTTTCCAAGTTGCACCGCCAACAGAGCAAGACCAGAAGGTGGGGCTGGTTTCACCCGGCCGTAAACATCTACATCCGAGGCAGTCACGGGACAGAAACAAACACTTTTGGGTCAAGCGATTCGTTCCGCAGGAACACCTCCCTCCCTCCGTGGGACCGAAAGCGCTCTAGGCAGTTGGCTGAAGATGTTCTGCGTTGCAGGAGTGCTCCCAAAGGTGTCTGAAAGCCAGGAAAGATGGATCCCACGCACCAGAGCTAAACTTCTGGAAAGGCTGGTTCCAGACCTGCAGCTCGTGCAGGGAAAACAGGAGGGATTTATCTCCATCCTCTCTCCAAAGCGGCCAACAGAGCCGTCAGGCCAAGAGCTAAACGGGGATGCAATCCCAGGGCAGCGCGATGCTCCCGAGCTGAGGTTTTCGTTGGGTCAGCAGATCGAAGCCGGGCTGGCTCAGACAAGCTGGCGGTACTGAGCTCTGCCCAGGTCTGTAATTAAAAACCCAAGAGAGAGAAAGCCAGAAAAGAAGCCAACGTGACTTCTTCCATTTCACGGAAGATGCCAACTATCACATGTAGCAGCTGTTTTCCAGCATCCGGGGCCCAATCACGAGAGATGCTGAGCTCTCTGAACTCCTTTTAGGCTGAGTCCCAAAAAGCACTTAGAGCACACAACTCCCACACAGCTTTACCCTAAAATCTTGCGCGGCTAAACAAGGCAGGCCAGCTTTCAGCCTTGCGTGCATGAACTTCTCTCTGATCCTCTTCATGGAGCAGAACATGTTCTCAGGCCATGGTGAATGCCAAGAAAAAAAATCGCATAAAAGCAAATGCACCTTTTTTAAAGGCTGAGATTTTCAGGACTAAGCCCTCAGTGTTATCCCACCGGAGGCAAAAGAATTAAGAGGGTTCCCACCCATGGCACACAGCCTTTATGATATTGCAGCAAAGACGGGACTGAAAATCACCTATTGCATTTTCTGGGAAAGACTTCTCTGCCTTTCCTGCATCTTTGTCGCTCTGAACTCACCTCCTTTGCTGAAAAATAAATATATATACAGTCCAAACGTGCACTCACAGGGAATTGCCAGACAGTTTCACCAAAAAGGAATGACCAAGCCCAATTCAGCTGGAAGCTATTCCCCACGTAGGACACTTCTGCAAGCAGCAAGATGAGAGGTGTTGGTCTATCTGACCGGTGCCGACACCCTAAAAAAACTCCCCTCAAAACTAGGGAAAACAACAGACTCCCTCTTCAGGGCATGCGGCGGAGGAGGGAAGCACACGGGCAGCTCGAGAGACGCAACATCAACTTGGAGGGGATTTCTCCTTGCGGGATCAGTGCACTCACTCCACCATCACCTCCATCTGTTCAGACTTTGGCTTTGGATTTCCCCAGCTGGCGCAAAGGTCTGAGCTGGAAACTTTTTCACAGCCTTCTCCTGCCCTCACAGCCCCCTTCGCTGCACCCGGTTTCGGCTTGTAGGTCCAGGTCAGCAGAGCCACCGCACCAAGAAACACACGTGCAGGGGGCCATCTCCTGTCCCGAGAGAATTACACGACTGTTCTCTTGAGGCCAACAAAATTACTCACATATGTTTGCAACTTATAATGGCAACTTGCAGAGGCAGCTACACGTTCTGGGAAGTGACAGAGCCAAGCTGGAAACAGAACTGAGCATCGCACAGGCCATCGTGGAAGATTACAAGAAAAACTAAGCTTAAAAAAAGATAAATGCTCCAAAACCAGGGCTAGAGCTGATCTCGTCTCGGTTTTGGATGGCAGAGGCTGCACAAGATGCAAGCTCTCCTCCAGGTGTACACGAGTATGACTTGCATCAGTGCTCGGTCTCCATGCTGAGGTTGAGCATTTGGAGGTGCAGGAGGAAGATTAGATTCATATTCTTGCTTAAGCTGAATAACGAGGTGCAAAGTGATCTTTTTTTCTTCTCTATGAAGAGGAAACCCACTGGCAAACGTGTGCCGAGAACATGTTTGTCATGCTTAAAAGGTGAGAGCATTTCCAACCAGCCCAACACTTACTCCAGGCTTTGAGCATGAACAGCAGCCAAGACTGGCAGAAAGAGAGGGTAAGACTGCCTCTCGCTCTCCAGAGACTCTAGAGGGACCTAAAGGCCAACTTTTGGGAAGAATTCATTAACAGAGTTGAATCCCACCTTAAGTGAGTCAGTCTTAGCTGAGCTTATTTGGGGTGTTTGTATACCCCAACTGCTCAGAACACATTTGGGGCGTTTGTATACCCCAACTGCTCAGAACTTTTCCTTCGCCTCTCTGTGTCTTGTGATTTTTTGTCTTCTGCCTAAGAGGATAAGAGACCGAAACCATTTAATAGCGCAGTAAAATTTATGGCCTTGAAAAGAGCAGTCCTAAGAGTCTGTAATCTCATCGCTTGCTGGCACGAAGAAGTTTGCTCCTTCATTTCACAAACCCTTGATGCGCTTCAGGACGCAGATTGCACCTACGTGGACAAAGCCAAGCTGGAGCCCCTCACCCAAGAGATCAACCACCAGAGGAGCCTGCGTACAGCAGTAATGGCTTTTCCTTCTCCGCTCCCCTTTCCTCCACCCCATGCCTCATTACGGGGTCTGTGGATTCAGACTCCCACAATCCCTCACTAAAAATCAGAGATTTTTTTTCTTTTTTAATGTTTCATGTGTTGATTGCTCCGGATTCCAAAGGTGTTGCTCTTGCACTGCACGGACAGGATCCTAAGGAATCTGTTTCAACTTGATGGTGAAGGTAGGAGCCAGAGAGATTTAACCAGAAAATCCCTCTTTGGGTTTTCTGCAGTGAGCCCGAAGTCACGGTACGCAGAGCGCACCGCATCTCCTTGTCTCCAACCACGGAGACCCGCGGGGAAAACACCCTCAGTGCAGGTGACTGAGGATCTTGCTGCCGCCCCAAGGACATCACTCGGCTCCAAGCATCCATTGCACACACCTCTGTCAGCGTGCCAGCGGACAACAGCTGAAGCTTAGACACGGATGACATCATCACTGATGTCAAAGCTCAATATGATGACATTGCCAAAGGAAGCCGGGCTGACGCAGAGTCCCGGTACTACTGTAGATAGTAAATGGTCCATGAGCCACCAGTGTGCCCTTGTCGCCAAAAGGGCCGATGGGATCCCGGGCTGCGTAGGGAAGAGTGTGGCCAGTAGGTGGAGGGAGGTCATTCTCCCCCTCTACTCGGCACTGGTGAGGCCACAACTGGGATACTGTGTCCAGTTTTGGGCTCACCAGTTCAAGAGGGACAGGGAACTGCTGGAGAGAGTCCAGCGAAGGGCAACCGAGATGACTGAGGGACTGGAGCATCTCCCGTACGAGGAGAGGCTGAGAGCGCTGCGACTCTTCCGCCTGGAGAGGAGAGGGCTGAGGGGAGACCCTATGATGGCGTACACGTATCTAACGGGGGGGTTGGAGGGAGGATGGAGCCAGACTCTTTCCAGTGGTTCCCAGTGACAGGAGGAGGGGCACTGGGCACAAGTTGGAACAGAGGAAGTTCCCTTCCAACAGACGGAAGAACTTCTTTACGGTCGGGGTGACGGAGCGCTGGCACAGGCTGCCCGGGGGGTGGGGGAGTCCCTTCTCCGGAGGTTTTCAAGACCCGATGGATGCAGTCCGGAGCGATGTGCTCCGGGCAATCCCGCTCTAGCAGGGGAGTGGGACTGGGTGATCTCTAGAGGTCCCTTCACACTCTGAAAATTCTGTGATACAACAAGGTGAGTCACGACGGACACTCACAAAAGTAGTTATGTCCCACTTCTGCTAAAGGCTCTGCTTCTTCAGGCTTCCTAACTGGGGTTGAATAGACCTTTCAAAGGTCTGCATCTCGCCCACCTGCTGTGTGTTCCCTGGGTGCGATACATCCCCTGGGAACGGCTTCACACACAGAGCTGCTGCTGTGTAAATGAGTCATTCGCATCCATCCCCCCCTCCTCCGGCGACAAAGGTTTTTGCCTTAAAGCTCAAGATCCGGACTGCGGCCCCACAATCACACAGGAGGTTTCATTACTGACTCATCTCCTCATTCCGGTATTTATTTTCATGGCGTTTTCTCTCTCCTCGGTATGAGGAACCGAGAGAAACCGCTGGCAGACACGATGACAGCTTGCATAACACAACGAATGAAATCGTGGAGCTGAATCGGGTGATTCAGAGCCTGACCGGAGAACGCGAAAACGCCGAAGCCCACCTAAGGATGACTCAGGGGCAATAAGGTGTCAATCGCGATTCCCAGGTTGCGGCTTTCCAAAACCCCTCCGCTAGAGCCGGGGAGCAATAAAGCCAGTTTTGATGAAATACAGGCGGCTGCTCAACTCTGAGCTTTGCCTGTAATCCCGAGTAGAGAGTAAAATGGGCCGTTACGACTAATCACTGAACTACCATCAGTAGAGACCTGCGGTGAGAAGGCAACACGTACACCAAAGGCTCCGCTGGGCAGAATTGTCCCGGAGTTAGAGGTTTACCTACAGAGTCCGAAAACATAACAGAGCGCAGGTGGGTGAACGCAGAGCCAGGCAGGTTCAAGAGCTCTGAACGTGCAAGAAGGCGGCAGCAATGACAACCTCCCACCTGCAGAGATGCAAACTGCAGCCGCTGCCGAAGCCGAGGAGTGCGGGGAAGCGACTGTCAAGGATGCAAAGCGCAAATTCTCCGAGCTGGAGGTATCCCTGCAGAAGGCAAAGCAGGACATGGCCCCGTGTGTAGCAGGAGCTGATGAATGTCAAGCTGGTCCCGGACATCAAAATCGCGACCTACAGGAAGGTGCTGGATGGAGAGGAGGTGGGTGTTGGTACAACCCTGCAAGATGGTTGCAAGGAAGAAACAGTAACACATCTAACCCCACAACCGACTTTCACAGTCTGTCTGATGAGCCGTCACCTCTGTCATCGCAGCAAATCCCACTGAGACCCAAAGCCTGAGGGGCTGACGCTTTCCAAAGCACTTTCCAGCCTTTATGGACCCAAACGCCTTACAAAGTGAAAAGCTCCTAATGCACTCAGGTTTTCCCCCCAAATGGAAGACCTTGCATGAACAAAGACGACGTCTTGTGTAGCCTCAGGTCCTATCAGGCCAAAATCTCAGCCACAGTCGTGCCTGGCCACCTTCGCAGCTCAGCCGAGATGAGCGGGCACCTACTCACACGTGGGCTAATGGAGGGGACACAGGGACCGCTGACCAGGACTCGTTCACACTTACACACACACAGAGCCAAAGCGAACCCCTTTCCCTGCTTGGACATGACACCGGACTCGGGAAAACTCCCTCCCAGGCGTGAGCTGAGCAGAAGGTCCAAAGCACTCGCCCGGCCTGCCAGCAGCTTCCCACACCCGCAGACCTCACGATTATCAGCCAGTTATAGGGACACACGTCAACTATGGACTTTGGTTTTTCACATCTCCATTTTCCCCATCCCTCTAAGGTCACGCACAGACGGCGGCTGCCCTGTGAGTGTTTGTAAGCACCAGACAAACCCCTATTCCAACCAGTCCCCCTGGATCTACTCTGCAGGATGGAAATCCCAAACTGAAATATCTTCTTTGCAGCTGTGTGCCAATCCCCAGGAAGAATCCCACGCAATACTGCCCCACGCGTTGGTGGCAGCTGCTCTCCCAGCAGCAGATCCCTCTTCAGAAGCAGCGGTCCAGTGACCGGAGGAGGCGTCTGTGATAGGACGAGGGGGAATGGCTTCAAACTGGCAGAGGGGAGATTGAGATGAGATATGAGAAAGGAATTGTTGAGTGTGAGGGTGGTGAGCCCCTGGGGCAGGTTGCCCCGAGAAGCTGTGGCTGCCCCATCCCTGGAGGTGTTCAAGGCCAGGTTGGACAGGGCTTGGGGCAACCTGGGCTGGGGGGAGGTGTCCCTGCCCAGGGCAGGGGGTTGGAATTGGATGATCTTCAAGGTCCCTTCCAACACAAACCAGTCTATGATCCTATGAAAAGCATCACTGGCTCTGGAGACATCTGTGCTCCTTGAGCCACCATGGAGGCTGCAGTGCTGTGAGTGGGAAGAGCTCCAATGTCAAACTCACATCCTCTATAACCTCTACTGGTCAAAGTGCTCAAAAACCAAGCAGCATTTGAAAGGAGGGTCCTCACTCCACCAGTTCACAGCAGCAGCCGCCTGCTGGCAGCGCACCCAGAAAACACGGGGGGCGTTAAAGCTTTCAGTCCAGTCCACAATGGTTATTCCCCGCGACCTTCACTACCGTTACGAAACTTGCTCTTTTCATTACCTTATGCTGTGGGTCTTCCTAAAGCTTTTCCCCAAATTTGCCTGCCCTTCCCTAAATTAGCTCTTGCCAAAGTTTGCCCATTCCTCCTGGGTTGCGCCGGTCTAGCAAAGCCTGCACAGCAATTTAACGAGGCAGCGCATAGTCAGCAAAGCGTATGTACTGAGGAACCACTTGCCCGGGAAGATAACCAGGTTAAAAACACTAAGCGACTGAAGTCTCTGCTCCTCCGGTGTACAGACACGATGGCAATGAAAAGTTAAAAACCAAAGGGAGCAGAGGAGTCTTACCCAGATCAGTCGATTCCTCTATGATGCTGCTTGTTTGCCTTTATCTTGGTTTTTTCCCCTCTCTTTCTCCCCAATAAACTGACACAGCAAACCTGAGATGACACGATACGGCTCCTCTTTTCAGCGGTACAACGCACACATCAACGAGACAATAAAAAAGAAAAAGACCAAACCAAACCCCAATCAAGGTCGAGGTCATCTCTCATTGGAGCCTCCAAGAGATCCATTTTCAAAAACGTGGGGTGCGGAGCGGGTGCCTGGGAAGAGGCGGGGGGGAAGGAGAGGTGAGGAGATCGGGACACAACACACCTCACCCACCCCGCTCCTCCCGTGTCCATCACTCGGTGAAACCCACTCAACTGGGATGAAAGAGCGGGGGAAACTCCCCGGGGGGCTGAAAGTCGCGGCGGTGTAACAGATCTGCTGAAGGCGGTCACAGCCGGACCGCGGGAATGTGGGTGGGATGCAAGAGATGGCGAGAACGGGAACCACACCAGGGGATATTTTCCTGCTCTGAAGCCTGTGGTAGGCTGGAAGAGAAGGAATTGTCTCATCAAAAAGTTTTTCCAAAACAAAACCTCTTTTTTTTTTTTTTTAAATTGAGATTTTTCCATTAAAAAAAAAAAAACCCAAAGAAGTGGCACCAAAACGTCTCACTCCCAACACGCTCAACCCTATTTAAACTATTTGGCTTAATTGAGCTAGCTCAAAACATTTTGGGTTTTTTTTGGAGTCAGTCCAACACCGTATTCAACTGCCTCTCCTTGCTGCACTGGAGAACCTGCAGCTTTATCCACTGTCCCTCTCTCCTTTTGGGTCAGTCCTCAGATTTCTGTCCAAAACCGCTCCACAATGGCATTGGGTGTCACTTGTCCCATCCAAAGCAGAAGGTGTTACCCGGGATGACAGTGTGGAGAGAAGAGCTGCAGCCACAGAGCCGTAAAATACAACTACAGTCTGGAGCAACGGGGTCCGGGACATGAGGATTGAGGTCAACTCCAGATCTTCTCGTGCCTCGTCCCCCTTCGGACGCCTGTGAGCGCTGGAGCCCGAGTGTCCCAGAGCTCCCGGATCCCGGAGCAAAGCCGGTAATTTTGGCTTGCAATTGTAACCAACCGCTGAACAGGGAAGGGGAAAGAAAGGCAGTAAACAAAACAAGATCATTAGTTTGAAACTTCCACCCTGCCCCTACAAAACACGCCGCCCTCCCACGCAGCGACGCGGGGAACCAACGCCGTCTCTGTGCTGCCACGGACCCGGGGACACACACACACACACACGCGTGTGCGCAGAGCAAAGCCAGGATGAATCGCTGCAATGAGGGCATTCGCCCGACGTAGGAGGTGAAGGACCAAGCCTGGCCCTGCCCCAAACCAGGTGGGAACCCAACCTTCAATTTGAGGGATGAAGGGAGGAGGAGACGCCAGTTTTCTGAGGATTTGGCCAATAAGAGTGTCTGCGAAAGCTACTGTGTTCCCAGCGCCGGTTTCAGTTTCAACTAATCAGCAATTCCCCCCAAATAAATTACCATGTTGGAAAACCCTCGTATCGGCAACCTGCAGGAAAAAAAAAAAAAAAAGAAAAATGACCTTGAGAAACAGATTTGGCCCCACAGCCGTTTCCCGGCATTAAAACACGTTGCCTTTTTATAGGCAGAACCGACAAACACGGTCATTTACCATTAACCTGCCTGCAAGTCCTTCTTCATTAATTCTCAATAAATCCCCACTCATTACGGGTAGCTTTTGTTAAACATCACATTGAATCACATTCTCCTTCAAAGCTCTTACTCGCAAGTGGAGGTACCAGCGAAAGGGAAAGATCTCCTTAGACAGAAAAGCATTTTGCATTTTCAAAGGCTCCGCTCCACTTCATCCGACCGATGAGAAGTGGAACATTTCATTTTTACCACTTCTCCCGCAAACAATTCGCCCGGCACAACTCCCCTAAGCTTTGTTGCTATTACACGAGACCTAAATATGACCCCTCCAACTTCAGAGCGTTCTTCAAACCTTTCCGGGGCAAACACGCCGCTGCGTTCTCTGCCGGTAAGCACAGGATATGCTAAGCAGTACACATTCTTTGCATCATAAACATTTTGTGGAAGTTTCATGCAGCCTCGCCCCGTTTTCCACGCAAATAAAAGGTGCTCTGGTGCGGTCAGAGGAATCTGCTCCCAGCACACCGCCTGCACCGATCCCTCTCCCACCACCACCACCAACCATGTCCTGCTGCTCCTCCAGCATCAGCTCCAGCCGCGCCATCAGGAATTTCAGCTCTTCCTCTGCAGCTCTTCCCAGAAATCAATGTCATTCCAGCACTGCCTCATGTCACCGTGGTGTGGGCTACCGTGGTTTGGGCTACCGTGGTTTGGGTTACTTCAGCAGCAGAAGTCTTGATGTTGTGGTACTCTCCCGGCCCAGAATAGCTCTTGGAAGATGTCCTCCTCCGAGACGTGGAAATGGCTTCGGTGCAGCTGGCGTGGGGTTTGGCTACAGAGGTGCTGGCTTTGGCTACAGGATTCGTGGAGTCTCCAGGCCATGCACCATCACACCCATCACCATCAATGAGCAACTGCTCCAACCGCTCAGACTGGATCTCGACCCCAAGGTGCAAACGGTGAAGTACCAAGAGAAGGAGCAGATCAAGACCCTCAACAACAAATTTGCTTCTTTCATTGACAAGGTGAGCTGAGAACCCCTCCCCGGCTCCCGTCCGCGGGCACGAGAGTCCAAGTGAGGTGTCCAGCATGGAAAGGGCGCAAAATCCTCATAAGACAACTCATTGTAGACATGGAGGACAACTTGCAGAAGGGTGCCAGTCAAGCCCCAAGGTGTGTACGTGGCACTGGGGAAGCTTCAGTGTCCCGGCACTATGGATCTGAGCTCTAGGCCCAACTGCAGGGAGGGAACGTGCTAAAACCAGTATCATCACCCTCCAAGTTCCTTCCTATTCTTCTCTGCGCTCCCGAATTTATTGCAAATCTCTCCTTTCTAGAAGCACTTAGATTTTCGTGCGTTTCCACCCGGGTGGCCCAGAAACAGCCCATGCACAAAAGCGCACTGGATTGGGAAAGGTCGCATTCCCACGTAGCGAGAGGAGGAACACACATTTCCCCACTGTTGCATGGACACGGACTCCCGCGAGCCCTTAATCCTCATCCTGGTTCCTACTTTGCTTTCTGGGATTCAGGTTCGACTCCTGGAACAGCAGAACAAGGTGCTGGAGACCAAGTGGAGCTTTCTGCAAGGTCAAAACCACTGCAAGAATACCACCGTGCCCGCGTTAGAGGTTTATATCGGTAACTTGAAGAAGCAGCTGGAAGCACTGGGGTGTGAGAGAGCCCAGTTAGAAACAGACCTGAAAGCAGCACAGCAGGTTTTGAAAACCAATAAGACAATGTAAGTAAAAAAAAAACAAACAGAGAAATGGAAGTGTGGGGCTCAAAATGTTGTTCGAGATTTGGAAAAAAGGCAGAGCCTGAGAACCTTTTGTGGGAGTAAATGGTTCCCAGAGAATGAGTAGGTAGATGGATGGGGCTTGGAGCAACCTGCTCTAGTGGGAGGTGTCCCTGCCAGGGCAGGGGGTTGGACTAGATGAGCTTTCAGGGCCCTTCCAACCTAAACCATTCGACAAAGGCTGAGGGAAGCACGTTGAAGGCTGAGGGACGTGGGGCTGTTCAGTCTGGAGAAGAGAAGACTGAGGGGGATCTCATCAATGATTATAAACACTCAAAGGGAGGGTGCCAGGGGGATGGGAACGGTCTTTTCCCAGTGGTGCCCAGTGACAGGACAAGAGGGAACGGCACAAACGTGACCATCGGCAGTTCCATCTCCGCCTGAGGAGGACCTTCTCTGCTGTGAGGGCGGCAGAGCAGTGGCACAGGCTGCCCAGAGAGGTGGGGGAGTCCCCCCCTCTGGAGCCATCCCAAACCCGCCTGGACGCCGTCCTGTGCCACTGCTGGAGGTGCCCCTGCTCTGGTGGGGGGTGGACTGGGGGAGCTCCAGAGGGCCCTTCCAGCCCTCACCAGTCTGGGATTCTGTGGTTCTATGATTCTATGGGGAGATCTACAAGGACCTCAGTATATAAAATAAGGTCCAAGATTCCAGAGAGATGGAGGAAACAGAGGATGTCTCCCTTCCAGGTTCTCCTTCTCTCCTTCCTAATTCATGGCATTAACTTTTCGAAACGTTCAGCACCTGTTTGCTGTTGCAGAGGTCAACTGAAAACAGTTCTGCTGCAAATCTGTAAAGACACAGAAAAGCTCTCTGAAAACACGTTTGCTTTCCCAGGGGCTATGAAACGAGACCAAAGCATCCCAAAACATTGTTTGGGGAGAAGGAAAAAAAAAAAAAAAAAAGTCAGAGCTTCACTTCTTGAAAGCAATCCTGCAGAAAGCCGAGCAGAGATGTAATTGCGCTGAACTCAACCAAAATCTCCCATTTTCCCACGCAGGCACAAGGACGAACACAGCCAGCGGAGGTGCACCGAGAGCGAGTTTATTGCCCTGAAGAAGGTGAGCAAGGGACTGTTTGAACTCAGCTCGCCGGGTTCAGGTCTTTGGGGTGCACGCGGTGATTTATTTCCCAAAAAGCGGCACAGCAAACAAGTACGAGCAGGAGCTGGTGCTGGGGTTTGCTTGAACTCAAATCAGCAGCGACTGCGTAATTGGGAGCTGGCGCATGGTCACGGTACCAGCGCTGGAAGTCCCTCACCCCAAGGGTAGCCCTGAGTCTGCTCTCGCTAACAAACTTCCTTCTTCTATCCCCAACGCGTCTCCAGGACGCAGACTGTTTTTTCTTAAACAAAGCAGAGCTGGAAGCCAAGGTGGAGAGCCTGAAAGAGAAGGTTGAATTCCTGAGAATGTTCTACGAAGAGGTAAGAAGCCTCCCTACTGCTCCTGCCGTCGTTTGCATTTCCCGGCTGGATTGTGAAGCTGCTTATCCCAAAGGAGAGGGGAGGAGGGGGTAACGCAGGGCGGCGGGCATCGCTTGTGGTGAACGGGGAGACTCAGCAATTCCTCTCTGCGCGCTCACCCCACAGGGGAGCAGAGCTGCGCGATGTGGGCACCACACCGGGTTGGGGACCAGCATCTCTCTGACCAGCTCACCCCCATGTCGCCACCAGGAACGCCACCAGCTGCGGGCCCACATCTCAGACACTTCGGTGGTCATGCGGATGGACAATCGCCGAGATCTCGACTTGGATGGCACCATCGCCGACGTCAAGGCTCAGTATGAGGACATTGCCCGCAGGAGCCGGGCAGAAGCGCAGGCCTGGTATGAAAGCAAGGTGAGAAAACCCAGCAGTGGGAGGGTTTGGGTGCAGTTTCTCTCTTCAGACCAACTTCAAACCCAGAGAAACACCCCCCCACCCTCCTGATTTGCTCCGATTTAACTCAAAGCATGTGGTTTGGGGATACGCAACAATGTCTTCGGGGCTTTTTTAGTTTGAGGAGCTGCGAGTAGCTGCAGGCAGAAACGCTGACAGCCTGCGAGACTCAAAAAACACGATAGCTGAGCTGACACGGACAGTCCAGAGACTGAATGGAGAAGTCCAGAGCGCCAAGAACCAGGTGAGCACAGCCACATCTGGATGTTTCAGCAGGGCAGAGCGCGAATTGCTGTTCCCAGAAGCTCCCACAACCAAATCCCATGGAGCTGTAGCATCTTGCAAAGGGTGTTCATGAGCAGGGACTCTGCTGCTCCAACTAGGGCTACGTTAAAGCCCAACTCATGCAGTGCCTGAAGGCAGATGTGGTTACAGCATCACACCCTCTACAATCAACACAAGGGAGCACTGAAACTGCCTGCCCAGCTCGCCCTACCCCCTGCCAGAGGGGCTGTGTGGCCATCTTACTGCTGGCCTGGATGCTCAACCAGACGTTCAACCCATCTCTTGCTAATCATAGAATGATTTAGGTTGGAAGGGACCTTGAAGCCCATCCAGTGCCCCCCCCCTGCCCTGGGCAGGGCCACCTCCCCCCAGCCCAGGTTGCTCCAAGCCCCGTCCAACCTGGCCTGGAACCCCACCAGGTATGGGGCAGCCACAGCTTCTCGGGGCAACCAGCCCCCGGGGATAACCATCCTCACACGCAACAATTTCTTCACAATATCTCATCTCAATCTCCCCTCTTCCAGTTTGAAGCCATTCCCCCTCGTCCCATCACTCCATGCCCTTGTAAAAAGTCCCTCCCCAGCTCTCCTGGAGCCCCTTTAGGCACTGGAAGGGGCTCTGAGGTCTCCCCAGAGCCTTCTCTTCTCCAGGCTGAAGACCCCCAACTCTCTCAGCCTCTCTTCATAGGAGAAGTGCTAACACATTATGTTTGAAGACATCAAGAGACATCTAAAACTGACCATATCTCACTCCTTGCAGCGCTGCAAGCTGGAAGACGCCGTGGCCAACGCTGAGCAGCGTGGGGAAGCCACCATCAAGGATGCAAAGCACAAACTCTCTGAGCTGGAGACGGCCCTGCAGCAGGCCAAGCAGGACATGGCCCGGCAGCTCCGGGAGTACCAGGAGCTGATGAACATCAAGCTGGCCCTGGACATCGAGATCATCACCTATAGGAAGCTGCTGGAGGGAGAGGAGAGCAGGTGGGTGACAGGTCCTAGCAGGGTTGCACAACCTACTGTAGATGCACGTGTCGAAAGGCAAAACAAGGGACCAGTGCTGGTTTGGAGCTGCCACACTGCAATTCACCTACACTGTCCTGATGCTTATCAATACTCAAAGGGGGATGGGAACGGTCTTTCCCAGTGGTGCCCAGTGACAGGACAAGAGGGAAGGGGCACAAAGGTGACCATCGGCAGTTCCATCTCCACCTGAGGAGGGCCTTCTCTGCTGTGAGGGCGGCAGAGCAGTGGCACAGGCTGCCCAGAGAGGTGGGGGAGTCTCCCCCTCTGGAGCCATCCCAAACCCGCCTGGACGCTGTCCTGTGCCACTGCTGGAGGTGCCCCTGCTCTGGCGGGGGGTGGGATGGGGGAGCTCCAAAGGGCCCTTCCAGCCCCCACCAGTCCGGGACTCTGTGATCAGTTCTTCCCACCAGTCCTAAGAGACCTCCACCAGTGCAAACCCGCCCAAACAGCCAGTCCTACTCCCTCCAAACAGGGAGAAACAGGCTAGAGAGGGTCAGGCTCACGTTTGAGGGTAAAGGGCTTTGCATTTGAAGACAGATGGATAACGTGCAGCCTTTTCCCATTCTCCACAGGCTCTGCGCAGAGGGTGCCTTCCCCGTCAGCATCCGTAAGTTGGAGGATTCACCTTCTACCCAACTCGGGCACCTTCTGCCTTCTCTCCAGGCAATTCCCCCAAGCTGAAACTCAGCTTCGCTCTGCCTTTTGCAGCCGTCTGCCATTCGCAGAGAGGTCTCACCTACAGCCCAGAGCCCGGCTTTGCCAGCGCCCAGGCGTCAGCCGACAGCAACCGGAGCAGCAGCGCGGGGTTCTGCGGCACAGCCGTGAGCTGCAACGCCGGCGTTGGCAGCAGGAGCGCGAGGAGCTCCTACACGAAGGTGGTGTCGGTGACCAAGTCAGCCAGGAGCAACGTGTAAGGAGCTGTAGAGAAACGGCAAGGCTGGAAACAGAGCAACACACATCCCCTTCTGCCAAGACACAGCGGCAGCCGAGCCAGAGCGGGCGCGCACCCAGCTCCCCCCCCCCACTTCCCAGCCACGGGGATAGAAAAGGCAAAGAGGTCTTTCCTATGCTTAAGAGTTTTTCTATTTCTGCCAGGGAATCTCAGAGCAAGAAAAGCTAAAACGCCCCTCATCGCGCCTATTACACGGCTAAAACGCCCCTCATCGCGCCTATTACACGGCTAAAACGCCTCTCATCGCGCCTATTACACAGCTAAAACGCCCCTCATCGCGCCTATTACACGGCTAAAACAAGATGCCTTTGGTGTAGCTCCCCGGTCTTTCCACTGCTACGGATTCAAGGATGACAATGAATCGTGAGAGACGGCACCTTCTACCTACCATTTCCCTTAGCGCTTTACCCAGCCCAGTTGCCTGAGCAGCTCCCACCCTGGACTAACCTAGTTTTAGCAGCTTTTTACAGCACACACACCCCCCTAGCATGAGAAGAACTCACCCAAAATTGCCCAGCTGGCAGTTTCCCTAACACATTGCATCAATTTCATTGCTTATTTGCCCCAAAGGATAGATTTGAAGGGCTGTTGCTGTTCGAAGGCAGTTTGCTTCTCTACTTGCATAACCCATTTGGAAACTGACCCTCAACTTTCCTTTTCCTTCTGGGTTTTTAACGGTCTGGCTCATCCGTTGCCATAAATGCAGTGATAACTGAGGAGTCTGGGGGCCAGAGTCCACTGTCAGGTGTGGGAGGGACTGATCCATCCATGTATCTGGCACACCTCGGGACACAAAGCTCCTCTGTGATCTTATTTAAGGGATCCAAACCCAACCTTAACCACATGGGACCAGCATCATTTGCACTGGCAGTTGTGCAGCACCCAGCACGCTGAACTGCTACCGTAGGTACGTTAACCCTATTCGGGAAGAAAATGAGGAAGCGGGGATTTATTTCTAACAACCATATATTTTACCAGCAGCTTTCATCCTAGTTTGAGTCTTGCATCTCCAATAAATTGACATAGCAACTCAGTCACCTTCACTCGACACCTTCATTCAGGGGGAAAGGAGGGTTAATTCTCATCTCTGCTCCAGGATCTCAATGCCAAAGCTCGCAGGGCTCTAAACCAGGCACCGGCGAAGCCCTCCATCTGCCGGGAACTCTCCCTTCCGAACCCAGACACCACACCTCCACGGTCTCCTGTAAGCCCCAGCGCATCCTTTCCCCGCGCACGCGAGGAGCCGTGCAAGGAGAGGAGTTACAGCCTCTCTCCAGAGCACCGCCGAGTTGGAAGAACAGCTCTCTCCTTCCTCACACCCCCAGAGCGGGATCCATTCCGCCCAACGCTGAGCGCCTGGCGCAGCCGGCTGCCAGCAGGGCACGAGATGCAGATGCTTCCCAGGCTGGATGTCTTCATTAGGATGGGGTGGAGCCCCAAAATTATTCCCCCCCCCCAGGAAAAACCAACCAAACAAAAACATTTAGAGGCCACTGACTAAGCAGAGATGCTCCAGCAATTTGCATAAAGTTAACTTATTACTATCATTGATTGCCAAATCCCCTTAAAACCGTCACCGGTTGCCCAGGAACTCCTCAAAACCATAGAGCAGGAGCTGCTGGAGGGTTTTACAGCCCTCCTCGTCCTTCCTCTCATCCTGGCACCAGCCCAGGTCCCGCTCAGCCCTCCGAGGGGCACGGCGCCGTTACTGCAAACCCCTCGACAAAGCAGCCCCCCCTCTCCCAGCCCACCGCCGTACCTCCTCCCAGGCTGTTGCTGCTCCAGGGCAGGAGCAGAAGGTGCCACCATCCCCCAGCAAGAGGCCGGAGGACCTCTTTTCATCTCCACTGTATGGGGTGTTGCCCTTTATAACCTCATCAAGCCAATTAGGCTACCCATCAAGCTAATTAGGCTTCCCAGGTAGAAGCCTTCCCAGGATAGGAGTTGTCTCCCCCCCACCTCGCTTCTCCCTGCCCAGTGGGAGCTGGGGACTCAGCCCAGCCCATACTGGTTCCGTGCCATTTAATTCCTTTCAAACACAAGATGAAAATCTCAATCAGCCTCAGAGGAGGGGTTTGGCCTTAGTAGTTACTGGAAAACTCATGGAAACCGAAGCTGAAACACCAGGGAACTGAAGAAAGCTCCCCACCGCCTGCAGCCTTCCTCCCAGGCCCAGTTGCATCCCAGTCCTCACCCTT